CCTTCCTTCCTTCATTCTTTCCTTCTTTCTTCCCTTCTTTTCTTTCTTCCTTCTTTCCTTTCTCCCTCCCTCCCTCCCTCCCTCCCTCCCTCCCTCCCTTCCTTCCTTCCCTGCCGCCCCCATCGTTTCCCTTTACCTCGATCTGCCCTATCGTCTCCTGATATTCTTTGTCTCGGGTTTTGAAGAAAGACTCCGTTTCGTGGATCAGGTTCCCCAGGTTCTCCTCTTGCTGAAAGAGACAGACACCCAGGGGCGGGCCTTTAGGCGAGGGGCAGGTGAGCGGGGACAGCCCGCCGGGTTTCCAAGGAGCCTCCCGGGCAGGATTCCCCATCCCCTCCTCGGCTGCTTTCGTGGCTTCCGAGCCTGCCTGAGTCCCTTGGGAAGGGAGCCGCCGGCCCTTCTGAGGAGGGACGGGCACCAAATCTGGGGTCCCCTCCCTCTCGACACCGTTGCCAACAAGCCCGGCCAACGGGACTCTCAAAACGCCCCGCGAGGCTCAAAGCTGAAGGTTGCTGAGCCCTCGGGAGTTTGGCTTGGCTCTGACTTTTAGGACTCAACGAGGAGTTAAGGAAGCAGAGCTCAAAGGAAAACAGGCCTCGGGTCCGTTGGGGAAGTGAGGTTCATATTTAAAAAGATGACCCGATCGTGAAAAATGTATGTCTGACCAACATAAAGGAATGAAGGGGAGACTAGCAGAGACCTACATCAAGCTCTTGAAGCTCTTGCCAGTTAGCCGTACCCTTCCGGGATTCGAACCTGGGCTACTTGCATATTAGGTAGATGCATTAACCTCTAAGCCAAGGGCTCCTCTCCCTTTATCGGCTGTACCAGGGTAAATATTAAGCGTTTTTTTTAAAAAAAATCAGGGCAACCCAGTCCACCCAATTATGGGACGGAGCACACAGCTTCCGTTTTGTGACCTGATTAAACAGCAGTGCTCCTATGGGAAGGGGGCCCTGAGCAAAGGCCGTTTAGTCGAGTCCAGTGCTTGGATGGCGGATGCCCGGGGGGTGTGTGGGGGTGAGGCTGGCCACCCCTCACCTCTCCTTGGAGCTCCACGGTCGGGTTGCAGTTGGTAAAGTCCTCCCACAGGAGCAGAGTGTCTTCGTTTTCCTCCCACGTCAAGCTGTCGCAGTCGTCATCAAAATCGAAGGTCTCCCGCCTGCTTGGAGACACATCCCAACGTTACAACTCTGTGTGTTTCCGGGACTTGCTAGCACGAGCGGAGACGGCTTCTGGTCCAAGCTCTTTCCAGCCTCCCGCCTCTCTCGCCTTCCGTTCTTCGACAGGCTGGCCCTGCTTCGAAGACACGGCCCTCCAGGGGGCGCTCTCCGCTCACCAACAGTCCTGCCTTCTCCGCTCCGGCTGCGATGCCCGAATCAAAGGGCGTCCTGCCCACCCACCCCCACCGACAGGGCTAGCTACTTTAGCCTTTTCCTTCCTTCCTTCCTTCCTTCCTTCTCTTTGTGCCTTTCTCAATTTCCTTCCTTCTAATCTTCCTTCCTTCTTTCCTTTCTTCTCCTCTTTGTCTCTTTCTCATTTTCCTTCCTTCTAATCTTCCTTCCTTCCTT